AGTGAATATACAGCTCATGAATAACTTAAAAAGTATTTCCCATTTTAAAAGGCAACACACAGCATACAAAAACCTATACTAAACAAAGAAGCTATAATATGGGTACATGATTGATGTGTCTAAAATGATATATATACACAGTACATAATTAATATTATGTGTCCAGTACATTTTCTATGATTCCCTTCAAGCTTCACTTTCCCCAGAAACTGAATTCTGTACTTCCTCTTCTAAAATTGGTACAATCAGGTTATCCTTGGACATCAAATTATATTTCATCACAAATTTGGTAAATCGATGACACAAAAATGTTTCATTCTGGAGAGAGGAAGAAAAAAATGTTATTTTAACTTATAACCCAGTGCCAAGATAATCAGATATAATATCAAAATATATTCTTATTATTCTGGTAAGAATGAACACGATGATCAGTGAAATATACTTACTTCATATTCATCAAATATCTGCCGGTGATGAAAATAAGCATGTGAAAATATTCTATAAATCCTACGGCATACTGATCCTAGTTTCGCTACAGATGATTCTTTTATGCTAACCCTAAAATTGAAAAAGAAATAATCGATTCATAAAGCTGGACAAAATCTTGGGGAAAAAATTTGAATCTTCCCATTTCACAGATGTGGAAACCTAAACCTAAAGAAAAGTGACTAGCTAAGGTCACAGCTGCAGCGTGTAGCAGGGGCAGGACTAGAACCTCTGTTAGTCAGGAACTTGGGCAGTACTTTCTACCTAACCACAGCTCTCAAGTTCAATTCACTAGGATAGCTAGTCAAAGTTAGTATTACATTAACATGAATGTCACAAATCAATACTTTGTCCACTAAAGGTGATTAAGACTACTGAGTTATTCTACACAACTGGGTTATTTTGTTTCTTTCTTAAAGAAATAAAAATTCTCTTTTTACTATCTTAATTTTTTAAATGAACATAGGTTACTGAGACAAATCAGTATTTTTTTTTCCTTTGGTTCTTATGAGCTCTTTGAAGCTAATTATATTTGGAGAAATAAACCTCCATATCCAACCACCTGTTAATAAATATCTAAACAAAATAAGCGTAATCTTGAACTATTCTTCTAAATAACACTATTAATACAGTTTGGCATACACAAGCTTCTTCCTACATGTTAAAAAAGTCTGTTGGCAAAAGTAAAATAAAAAAAAAAAGTCTGCTGGCAAGAATAAAAATTCCTTTCAAAAACCAAGCAGTTTTAACTCAGGAAAGTTGACTTATTAGGCATGGAGAGGCTGGTTATACATAGATACACTAAAGTAGCACAAGACTTGAAAGGAAATTTTAGAGAATGAGAAACAGTAGCAGGGATAAAACTTAATAAACCTGGTCTCTACCCATAGCTGACATCCAAGCAGATATATGTACACC